TTCCCCAGTTAAATTACAGCGTATGATAAACCACTTGGAGAATTACTGCCGAATGTGGAACTTGCATATAAATTTGGCCAAGTCAAAAATAATAGTTTTTCGCAATGGAGGTATACTATCCAAATATGAGAGGTGGAACTTCGGAGGAAGCCCTGTTGAAGTAGTAAACGAGTATAAATATCTGGGTGTTATCATGACCCCAAGGTTGGTCATGGGAAGACACTTTGCTGAAAGAATAAGTCATGAAAATTTGGCCTAAACTCTACTTGGCATAATTTCATAGCTAACAAAAATGTCCCCTACTCAGGTAAACTAGTGGTTTATAATTCGGTCTCTCGGGCGGTGATTAGTTGTGCTGGGAAGGTTTGGGGTTTCGAGACCTATGAAGTTTTGGAAAAGTTTAAAAGATACTTTGTAAAAAAATTACTGTGTCTCCCAAGGTATGCACCTAATTATATTTTGGCACACGAAACCGGTCTCGCCTCGATATACTCCTACACACTTAAAATTCATTTCGACTATATTTTGAAAGTTCTGGAGATGCCGGGTTTTCGTTTGCCACATATCCTAGCGAAAGAGGTGATAACTAGAGAGTTTATTGGTACCAAAAGTGGTTAGAATTCGAGAATTGTTGCAAAATTTAATCTTGATACTGCCAATATCGCTGATCTGCGCGGAAAATTGACTGTTGTTAGACGTAGGGTAGAGGACATAGAAAAACAATATAACCTTCAAAAATGCCTTCATTCAAGTGTTTCTGTTTACGCAGGAGTATTATAAGTGGGTCACTGTTACACCCTATCTTGATGATAGTTTTGATATTGTGACTATAGGGGCAATTTTTCGATGTAGGACAGAATTGCTCGATTTTAGCGTAAAACCATGGGTGGTGGGGGACAACGATTACTGTCCGGTATGTAACTCTCAAGAAAAAGAGGATATCATTCACTTTTTGGGGACTTGCCACATGTTCAGTGGGATAAGAGAGAAATGTTTTGGGCAGCTGACCTGTTCTCCAGAAGAATTATTTGGTTTCTTAAAGGGTTCTAACTGGAAATCCTTAAGCAATTATGTACAGCAGGCCACATTGCAAAGATATCAATTAGTCGGATAGCAAACTATTGATAAAATATCGTGTTTATTTATTGTGAAGTTTGTTTTATTGTTATATCGCATTTGATTATTATTATTATTATTGTTGAATTTAAATTTCTTATTTGATGGATTTGTGATGTATTAATGTTTGTTTTTTGAAAACTCTATCTAAACAAATGAGACAGTGAAAAAGAAAATTGCTAGAATGGATGTATAAAAACATAATAATGCTGTAGATATATTATTGCTCATTTATTTTAGTTATAGATGTGATGAATATTTATTATTGATTACACACAGACCTCGACAGACGGAATTTTCCATTGTCTATGTGTTGTTGTTTGTATATATATATATTTTACTTTGTATATATTTTTTAAAAAGTATAATAAACACGTTTTCATTCATTCAACAGAAATAGTGTGAAAATAAATAAATTAAGCAACTTTAAGAGCATGAAAATCATGTTCAATAGAGACAACATAACATGAAAATTACATATACAAGTTCATAAGTACAGATAGGTATATATAATATCACGAGAAGAAGAAAATATATCTGCATACATTAACACTGTTTTGTCAATAGGAATTGGAATAGAAGGGTTTTAAATTTAGATAATGAAGGCGCATGCTGGATTTTTATAGGGAGGGAATTTCAGAAATTATCAGAGCGAGGAATGAAGGAGTTTTGGAAAGAGGCAGATCAGTGAAAAGAGGTATAAAGGTCAGAAGGTCGAGGTCTTGTGATAAGGGAGTGGGCAGAGGACTTGAATTGGAGATCATAAGAATAGCAGAGACGATGACTTGATAATCTGATAAAGAAATGAGCCTAGGAAATATTGTCAACGATTGCGAAGCTTTGACAGTACTGTTACTTATAAAAACAAGTTATTCACAATAAAAGAGAACACTTTTCACATATCTGAAATCGGAGGCCTGCTGGAAACTCTTGAAAACAGCAAATTATCACCAGCTCAGGTGACTAAAAGAAAAAAAACTCGATCAGTATCGATTTGAAGAAAAAAATTATCCCAATTAAAACTAGAGAGCAGGAAAGCCAATATTAATGGATATCATAATTGTATTCAACAGGACGAATACTTGGGCCTGTATGATGTGATAATATGCCTCGCTGAAACCCATGTAACTACTGAAAGAAGACTTAAGCCTAATTGGATGTGAACTTATGGAATTGTTTTCAGCCCAGCTGTTAGGAGCTAGAAACACGGCAGAGCCTCTGGTGGCTTGGTTTGTTTTCATGATCAAGATAAATGTTCTATAAGAACTTTACGTAATAATAGAGACAACATTTTTTTGTTAGTTAGTAAGAATAGTTTAAAATTAATTGTAGGCTTTGTTTATATTAATCCCGGTTTAGATATACATTTATATTAACATTAAATCCATTTTCGGAAAAAATAGAAATCATTATAGACGAAATCAGATCCAGAGAACATAAAAATATTCCGATTTATTTGGGGGCAGGGGGACTTTAATTATAAAATCAGTAATTTAAATATATGCTCTTCAGAAATTGTTCATGATACTTGCCTCTTAACAACAGCATCTTAAATTTAAGGGGGAAAATATTAATTGAGTTTATGGAACTTAATTCCTTTATAGTTTTAAATGGCCGAACTCTCAGTGATTTAACTGGTAATTATACTTATTGTAGCACTAATGGATCGAGTGTTTAGAATCAGAAGTATACTCTGGGTTTACCGTGATGAAAAAAATAATATCTATAAAAGAAAGCTTATTGAATGGGGTAAGCATATATTGGAAATATTTTAAAGTAGTTTACTGATTTCTTCATTAATCACAGTGGACTTTAAAACCATTAATGTTGAAGAATTATACGAAAATTGTATATCTGCTGTTTTCAGAACCTCTAAAGAAATTAATATAATGAAAAGTATAACAGAATTTAACAAACGGGGAATTAATAGGAATAAACCTTGGTATGATAATGAATGCAAAGCACTTAAGAATGAGCTAAAGAATTGTTTCTCTATATGTAAGAAAAATAATTTTACGGGTGGATTCTTATTTGATTTTCTAAAATTGAAAAAACAATATAAAAACTTTGTAAAAATGAAAAAAAAAAAAAGAAAATATAATTTAAATTCTCGAAACAACTAACGATAGTTCAACTTTTTGGGGTATCATAAAACGATTTAGGAGCAGCGTCATTTCCAGACCGAGCATTTCTATAGAGGTGTGGGAGAAGTTTTTTTGAAATGATGTATCCACCTAGGTTGACAACCAATAATTTTTTTATCGATAGTCGACATCAATTATTAGATGGAGATATATCATCTGAAGAAATAGGTAGGGCTTTAAACAAAATTAAAAATGGCAAAAGCGCAGGGCTTGATGATGTCCCATACGAAGTATACAAGAATATTCGCCCTAATTTGTTTATATATGTGCAGAATTTGAAAAACTGTGACTTTGAAAATATTTACCCAAATCCTGTAGGAACGAATAACTTTATGGACTGAAGAAAGCAGGATTATACCCGAACGCTAATCAGGATTCAGAAATAGGAGAAGTTGCTTGGATAATGTTTTCGTCTTAAATGCTGTTAGTAGAGTGATTTTGAGGCTTCTGGGCAACTTTTGTGAGCAGCCAATCAGAACAAGCCTTAACTACCACGTGGTCAGCAGTCCGGTCAGCCTTAACCACCACGTGGCCCTTAGGCCACGCCCCTTTTAACTTATCCCTATCTTAACCACCTAGCCACTCCCCTTTTTAGTCACGAGAACAGTAGCCACGCCCCTTTTCAATCGTGCGTCTTCCACGTTTCCCCCCACTCCTCTCTAAGAGGCTGAGTGTGCCCGGTCGTCATGTTGTTTTCGGGTACTTAGGAAGTTCACGTCTTGTATGACGTCACGAGGTAACGCCCCTTTTCGATCAAGTGACCTCCGCATTTTTTCTTCACTCCTCTCTAAGAGGGTAAGCCCGCCCGCCATTTGTTTTACTGCGATTAGAGACTTAGGGTTTTGTCCGCCATTTTGTTTTCTGGTAACCTTTCTAATGTTTATAATCTTTTGTATAACCTTCTTAATGTTTACATGTTCAGAGTCACGTGATTGCCGCCATTTTCCCTATAACATTCTTAATGTGTATCTTTTATATAACCTTCTTAATGTTTACCTTTTTAGTGTCACGTGGCCGTCGCTGATTTATTATTGATATAGAATTTCCAGTAATCCTTATTTGTTACTGTTAGCCTTTATACATAAAAATGGACTTTGTTGTTACAATTCTTAAAACATATTCTCACAATGCCTACCTTTGTCCACCTGTAAACAGGCCTAGGAACTTTTTTCAGATCATAGTCAATTAGTACTCCAATTATCTCTAGCTCCTATTCCTAAACCCTCTCCACCGTCCTTCATCATAGGCCCAGTTAACTGGAAACTCTTTCATCAATCATTTCCGAAAAAATTGACCTCAGGTTAACCTTGAAAATGCCGTACATTCCTTTACCACCACTATTCAACAAGCAGTATGGACAGCTTCCTCTCCAAATCATTCCTCAAGAACCCCTAAGGAAAATAGTTTACCCCAACACCTCATAGACCTAATCCATACCAAACACCGTGCCAGATCATTATGGAAACGTACTAAACACCCCATCGATCGCCGCTCCTACAATTATTATTGTAAACTACTAAAGCAAAAATTATCATGCTTCAGATCCCAATCCTTTGATAACTACCTTACTTTTCTCTCTGTTCACAATTCCCTCTAGAATCCTATTACATTTCCCATCCCCTTCGTCGATGCGATGACTTCTGGGCAGCGTCTGATGAAGATAAAGCTGAGGAATTCGTCAGATACCTCTCCAGTAGATTTACTCCTCATCCAGAATCCCATCCAACCCTTTAAAGGGAATTCTTAACAAAGGAATCGCCTTTGGAGGGGATGGTGAATCAAGAATCACATCTTACTGTGACTCGGACTATGCAGGTGATGAGAAGACACGGAGGAGCACATCAGGATTAATCATTTTCTACAACGGAGGACCAGTTTGTTGGAGACTTCCCTTTAAATATCTCATTATACGTTTCAGATTTGCGAGATCTTGACTAGTCGGATTTTCCATATATCTACTTTCATATCCCACAGAGTAACACTGGCCCGGTCTTGTTTTTGTAGCTAGATACAATAAGCTACCTACTGATTCTCGGAAAGGGTAATTGGTCTGCTTGTCTGATAAAGTAATTGCATTTTCTTCTCTTTTTTGTTGCACCATGGGTGTCACTGAAGGGTTTGCATCCTTCATTCCGAATCGTTCAAGAATCTGGTTTGCGTAATTTTCTTGAGTTAGTCCCAAGCCTCCTTCTTTTACGACCAATTCAATGCCCAAAAAAGAAGTAGGGTAGCTTATTATATCTAGCTACAAAAACAAGAGCGGACCTGTGTTACTCTGTGGGATATGAAAGTAGATATATGGAAAATCCGATTAGTCAAGATCTCACAAATCTAAAACGTATAATGAGATATTTAAAGGGAAGTCTTAACAAAGGAATCGCCTTTGGAGAGGATGGTGAATCATGAAACACAGCTTACTGTGACTCGGACTATGCAGGTGATGAGGAGAAACGGAGGAGCGCATCAGAATTCATCATTTTCTACAATGGAGGACCAGTTTCTTGGAGATCTAGGAGGCAGCTAATTGTGGCTTTAAGTAGTACTGAAGCTGAATTCATCAGTGCTGCTGAATGCTTTAAAGAACTTCTATACATCAAAAAGTTGATCGAAGAACTTACAAATAATGAAATTAAGGCGACGATACTAATTGACAACCTCAGTACCATTAACCTTATTAAAACAGGGATTAAGAACAAACGAAGTAGGCACATTGATGTTCGTTATCATTTTTCCAAAGACGTTTCTGATGAGAACATTGTAAATTTCGTTCATTGTGCAAGCGATATGCAGTTAGCAGATATTTTGACAAAGCCACTTGGCAATTTAAAATTTGAAAAACGTAATGTAAATATTTGTAATTAATTTCTCTTTATATAACTTTTTTTGTTAACTTCAATAGTTCTGCGCATGCGCTTGATTTGAATGCCCACATTTCACGTCGTGTCCCACAGTTTTACTATTTTTTAGTAGAATAAGTGCTCAGTTTTACTTAAAAAAAAAAAACTAGTTAGGCTGACATCAAAACAACAACAATGGACTAACACCACAGTGAGTAGTGTTGTTATTTACTGTGTACTATTACAGACAGTGAATTTAGTGGTTTAGCGTCTATAGGCTTTATCTCTATCGCCATAACAGCTGACGGCTCTCCACTCCAGTTGTGGCCCAGCCACGTAACTGACTGGTCCACAGTCGGCGGTTCATCCATTATAAGAACACGCAGACGTAGTTTTATTTATTTTTTCCCTTTCTTTTTTTTTTATATGCGATATTACCACCAAGTAATGTCAAATAAGAGGTCCCGTTCAGTTGGCTCTACCCCTCGTAATTCACCGCCTAAACAGAAAATACGCCGTAGTAAGCGATCAACACCCCCCGGAACTCCTCCAGCGAACACTCAAGTATCTGTGTCTCAACCACTGCCAAGTACGTCTTCACAAGAAATGGAATCTCCCTTTTTTACACCTAATCCATACCAGGTGCTTGAAAATGACAGGGAAGAGATGGGAGATGCACCTATACCCAGGGAACCACACCTACCTCCTATCTTTGTCAGAAATTTCCAGTTGTTGTGTACTCAACTTAATAAAATCTGCCCAGGTAGCTATACATGCCTAAACAGAACCAATGATACAAAAATAATACCCAGTTCTGCGCATGCGTTAGCCTAAGTTAAACATACGTCAGGTCGTCTCTTACAAAATTCTTCATTAATAGTGGCAGTGTTCAACTTCAATGCGAAACAACAGTGTTACCTGTTATATTAACAATTAAGTTTGTTACTGAACAAAAGAATAAGGTGAGTAATCACTTATTTCCAGCTCAATAGTGAACAGTGTAAATAGACCTCTGGTTAGTTACTGATAACGGCCGGCCATAACATCGCTAATCCCACCAGTGGGCTCTGGCTCTCCGTCCGAGGAGGTTCTGTGCCGATTAGTCCTCTCTAGCACGCGTATATATTTCCGTGCTTAAAAAAAAAAAAATTGTTATCGCTTCTCATTTAACAATTTTTCCTATCATTTATAATATGAAATGCGATATTATCATATGCTAATGTCGAGCAAGGGTAAAAATACTAGGTCCAGAAGCCTCGATACTACAATGAGTTCTCCTATTAAAAAAAGAACAAGACGTTCGAAAAGAAATACTCCACCAGCCGCACCAGGGAGCTCTGTTGAAGAAGTGGATCCCCAACCTGGTACCTCACAACAACAAAACAATCATGAGACAACTCAGACTGGTGAAGAATCGCCGTTTTTCACTCAGAACCCATTTCAAGTGCTATCAAATACACAAAACGAAGAAATGGAAGCAGCACCCACCACCAGGGAACCCAAACCCCCACCAATATTCCTTAGGAATATTAAAAACTTTCAGTTAATGTGTCACCAATTGAATAACCTAGTGGGCTCAGAAAAATATTTATGCCAAAGCCGCACCAATGACACTAAATTAATGCCCGACACTCCAGAAACATACAGAAAAATTATAAAATATTTATCTGACACCAAGGCTGATTACCACACGTATCAATTGCGTCAAGAGAGGGCGCTCAGGGTCGTTATCAGAAGACTGCACCCATCTACGCCAACAGATGCTATAAAAGAAGAGCTCGTGGGTATGGGATTCCTTGTTCGCCAGATAGTGAACATATTCAAGGAGGATAGAGAACAGCCTGGAATAAAAAGTAAAATACCGCTCCCACTATTCTTCGTTGACCTTGACCGTACGCCCCAGGTCGAAGACATCTACAAGGTCACACGCCTTTATTACACCAGCGTTGTAGTAGAAAAACCTTACACCAAGCGCGACATCGTTCAATGCCATAACTGTCAGGCTTATGGCCATACGAAAAGATATTGTCATCACATTCCTAGATGTGTGAGGTGTGGTGAGCAACACAAAACAGAAGAATGTAGGAAGTCTAGAACTTCACCTGCAGTATGCGCCTTATGCCACCAAGGGAACCCTGCCAACTACAAGGGTTGTCAGACATATAAAGAATTAAAAACAAGAATGTACGCAACTCCTAGAGAAGAAGGGACATCCAGACCACCAAGACAACCCTCTAGAACAGTGAACGGAAGAGTGACCTATGCTCAGATGTTCAAAGGAGACACTATAAACACTCAATCTCAGGCCCTGCCACAAGAACCTCAACCTCGAGAATTCACACATCAACCTCAAGACCCATATCCACCCATCCCTGAACCTAGGTTCAATACCCAGACATACATTCCTCCTTCCAATTCCACTGACCTCACAAGCCTATTAACTTCTTTCCTCTCTGAATTTAGATCCCTCATCACCCCTCTTATTTCATTACTTACCAATGTTATATCCAACCTCATTCCACCGCCGAGAAATCCATAAATGTCCTCAACCAAATCCCTCTCCATTCTCCTATGGAATGCGAATGGTATTCGAAATCACATCAACGAACTGACAATCTTATTACATGACAAAAACATCGACATAGCACTAATAACTGAAACCCGACTAACCAACAAACGACAAATCAACATTCCTGGCTACAATATTTATAGAACCGATCATCCTGATGGAACAGCACATGCTGGCACTGCTATAATTATCCACCGATCTCTCTCCCATCATTTATTTCCCTTACCAACCCATAATTTCCTACAATCCACTGCCGTAATAATCCAAACTTCCCTTTACCCAATAACATTAGTTGCGGCATATTCCCCGCCTAAAATACCCATTTCCGAATCCCAAATAATTTCCTTCCTGAATTCCTTAGGACACCATTTCATCCTAGGTGCAGATTTAAATGCAAAACACCAGCAATGGGGAGCCAGATCCACAAATTCCCGAGGGCGAACATTGCTATCTGCACTTAATTCCCATCGCAGCAATATCCTTTCACCTAATACTCCCACATACTGGCCAACAGATCCCAACCGCAATCCCGACCTTCTAGACTTTTTCCTACACAAAGGTCTAGGATCATTGCACTGTTCCATTTCAAGGCTTGATGATCTTTCCTCAGACCACAGTCCTATAGTCCTAACAGTTTCCACATCACCCATTCCTAAATCATCCCCTCCTTCATTCATCAGGGGACCAGTTAACTGGAACCTTTTCCGTCAAATATTGGATGATAATATAGACCTCAGAGTTTCCTTAAAAACACCTGAAGACCTTGACGATGCAGTGGACTCCTTCACTACCCTGATCCAGCAAGCAGTTTGGACTGCATCCTCACCTGATCGTCCCAAAAAACACCTCAGTATAAATCCTCTACCCCAAGACCTATTGGACCTTATCCATAGCAAACGATGCTCTAGGGCCCTCTGGCAAAGAACCAGGAATCCTGATGACCGGAAATCGTATAATTATTATTCCAAACAGGTTAAAAAGAAACTGGATATCTTTAGAACCCAATCCTACAATTCCTACCTTTCCTCATTATCATCTAGTGATAACTCCCTCTGGACTGTAACTAAAAAAATCCCTAAATTCCAATCCATTTCCCACCCCCTCCGCCGTGATGATGGTTCCTGGGCTTCGTCAGATGCGAATAGAGCTGAAGAGTTTGCTAAACATCTATCCTACACATTCACTCCTCATCCCGAACTCCATCCCACCCACACTGCTGAAGTTAAAGAATTTCTCTCTTCACCAATTCCTCTCTCTCTACCTCCAAAACCTGTTAACCCCTCTGAGGTAAAATTCCTCATAAAAAAATTAAAACCCCGAAAATCCCCTGGATATGATCTCCTCACTACACAAATCCTCAGACAACTTCCCAAAAAAGCAATCATATTCCTTACCTATCTATACAACTGCATCCTTCGCACAACCAACTTTCCTTTGGTGTGGAAACATTCCATAATCGTGCTGTTTCCAAAACCAGGCAAACCCGTTAATAACACATCATCCTACAGACCGATAAGCTTACTCCCTATCCTCTCAAAAATCTTTGAGAAAATCCTCCTCAAACGCATCCTACCCATACTCGAATCCCACAACATCCCTTCTCATCAATTTGGATTCCGCTCAAGACATTCCACTGTCCAACAAGGCCTTCGTGTTGTGGACCATATATCCTCTGCACTTGAAAACAAGCAATATTGCACTGGTGCCTTTCTGGACGTAGCGCAAGCTTTCGACCGGGTGTGGCACGATGGCTTGCTTTTCAAGCTCAAAACCCATTTACCCCAATCCTTATACCTAGTCCTCAAATCCTATCTCACAAATCGTTCCTTCCAAGTCCGTTGCTGCACCGAATTCTCCACTTACTATCCAGTTGAGGCTGGTGTTCCACAAGGCAGTGTTTTGGGTCCAGTTCTCTACATCCTTTTCACTGCCGATATCCCTTCAAATCCCGATACCTTCCTAGCTACATTTGCTGATGATACTGCCATTCTATCTTCCCACTCAGATTCTCAAATAGCATCTCTAAACCTACAATCTCACCTCTCCTTGATTGAACAATGGTGCAACAACTGGCGCATCAAAATCAATGAAGCAAAATGCAAAAATATTACTTTCACCCTGCGACGCAGATCCTGTCCCACAATCCTTTTCAATTCAATACCACTTCCCTACTCAGATACAGTCCGTTACCTTGGCTTCCTTCTAGACAAAAGACTAACTTGGAACCCACATACAAGACTTAAAAGACAAGAACTTAACCAACGATATGGCCAGCTATATAGACTACTAAGCAGGACATCTCATCTTTCGATTGAAAATAAACTTTTAATCTACAAGACAATACTGAAACCTATCTGGACCTACGGACTTGAACTGTGGGGAACTGCTAAACATTCGAATATCAAACGCAT